GAAGGCTAGGGTGGGGTGTTCTGAGAGAACAGCATTGAAACAAGTATACTATCAAGGGTGAAACAGATCACCAGCCCAGGTTAGATGCATGAGACAAGTGCTCAGGGCTGGTGCACTGGGATGACCCAGAGGGATGGGATGGGGAGGGATGTGGGAGGGGGGATCAGGATGGGGAACACATGTAAATCCATGGCTGATTCGTGTCAATGTATGGCAAAAACCACTACAATATTGTAAAGTAATTAGCCTCCAACTAATAAAAATGAATGGGGAAAAAAAATCCGAGTGTTCTAAACTCTTTTATCACTGATTAGCTTTGTGACTTTGAACAAGTTACTTAACATGTCAGAACCTGAGTTCTACATCTTTATGATGAGAGTGATGATAGTTTTTAGATTACATTTAAATAGAATAAAGTATCACACAGCTCTAGCACATGTTAAGTGCATAGTAGTAATAGCTATTAGTCATTTGGTGTAGACTGTACATGATATCTTGTCTTCTTAGTTTCTTTTGTTACTAAATGTATTCTTTTTTTTTTGCTTATGCTGCTCATTTGGCACTCACAGATGTATCTTTTATTATTGTTAGGGAGTTGTGTTCTTTTCCGTTAGTTAAGTGTAAAGTTATAGAGAACAGAATTTTTTTTCCTAGAATCTAGCTTAATTTGCTTCTCCTGAAGATTAAATTAAGAATGCATTCTGAACAGAGAGCTTCAATACAGAAAATAGGAAATACAAGAAAGTACTAGAGTCACAGAGCTGAAGACTATAACTGAACTAAGACATTTACTACAGGGGTACAACAGCAGACCAGATAGAAGCAAAAAGGATCAGTGAACTTAAAGACCAGGCAGTAGACCTCACCCACTGAGAGCTGCAAAAAGGAAGAAGAACAAAAGAAAGTGAAGATAACTTTGGGAATTTATGGAACAATCTCAGAAGGACTAACATTCACATAACAGGGCTGCCAGAAGGAGATAGGAGAGAGGAAGGGGCAGAAGAATTATTTGAAGAAATAATGCCTGGAAACTTACCTAATTTGGGGAAGAAAACAGACATGCAGATCCAGGAAGCCTAGAGCGTTCCACATAAGAAGACCCCAAAGAGACCCACACCAAGACACATTATAATTGATGATTCTTTTTAAAAATATTAATTGATTTATGGTTGCACTGGGTCTTCATTGCTGTGCACAAGCTTTCTCTAGCTTTGGCAAGTGGGGACTACTCTTGATTGCAGTGTGTGGGCTTCTCATTGAGATGGCTTCTCTTGTTGTGGAGCACGGGCCCTAGAGCGTGCTGGCTTCAGTATTCTGTGACATATGGGCTTAGCTGTTCCATGGCATGTGGCAGCTTCCATGTGGGATCTTCCTGGACCAGGGAGTGAAACCTGTGGCCCCTGCATTTGCAGGCAGATTCTTAACCAGTGGACCACCAGGGAAGTGAACATTATAATTAAAATGGCAAAAGTTTAAGGCAAAAGAGAGATTCTTAAAAGCAGCAAGAGAAAAACAATGTGTAATGTATAAAGAAACCCCCATAAGACTATGAGCAGATTTTTCCAACAGAAACTTTGCAGCCAGAAGGGAGTAGCATGATATATTCAAATTACTGAGGGGAAAAAAATTCCAGTCTAGATTATTCTACCTGGCAGAGTTACATTAAAAATTAGAGGAGAGTTAAAGAACTTTTCCAGACAAGCAAAAGCTAAAGGAGTTCATCACCACTACATTGGCCTTACAAGAAGTGTTAAAGGGACTTCTTTAAGCTTAAAGAAAAGGATGCTAATTAGTAACAACAAAACATGAAAATATGAATCTCACTGGTAAAGAAGAATATATAGGAAAGGTAGTAGCTTAATCACTTAAAAAGCTAGTCTTAAAAAATAAAAGTAGTAAAACCATAACTACAACAATGAGGGAATACATGCAAGATAAAAAGGTGTAAAATACAATATCAAAAACAAAAAATGTTGAGGGGAAGAGTAAAAATATAAAGCTTTAAAATGCATTTAAGTTGTTGTCAAAGTAGACTGTTATTTATGTAAGTTGCTATATGAAAGTCTCATGATAAATACAAAAAAGGTGATGAGAAAGTAATCTAAGCATGCTAAAGAAAGTCATCAAGCCATAAGAGAAGAGAGCAAGGAATGAAAGTTCCAGAGAGGAGCTACAAAACAGCCAGAAGACAGTTAACTAAATGACAATAAGTAGGGTCGCAGAGAGTAGGACACAACTGAAGCCTTAGCACACAAGCATTCACATACTTATTAATTACTTTAAATGCAAATTGACTAAATTCTCTATTTAGAATACATAGAGTGACTGAATGGATAAAAAAAGTAAGTCCCATTTCTGTGTTGCCTGCAAGATATTCACTTCAGGTGTAAGGAGAGAAACAGAAAGTGAAGGGATGGAAAAATATATTTTCTGCAATTGAAAGCCCAAAGAAAGTTGGAGTAGCTCTGCTTATATCAGATAAAATAGACTTAAAAAAAAAGACTAATTAGAAAGAAGGGTAGTAAGTAATGATAAAGGGGTCAGTCTAACAGGATATATAACATTTGCAAATGTTTTGTTGTTGTTCAGTTGCTAAGTTTGTCCAATTCTTTGAGACCCCATGAACTGCAGCATGCCAGACTTCCTTGTCCTTCACTGTCTCCCAGAGTTTACTTAAATTCATGTCTTTTGGTTACAGATATTTGTGTATCTACATAAATATATAAAGCAAATAATAACAGACCTAAAGAGAAAGGGGGCTTCCCTGGTGGCTCAGGCAGTAAAGAATCTGCTTGCAATATGGGAGACCCGGGCTCGATCCCTGAGTCAGGAAAATTTGCTGGAAAAAAAAATAGCTACCCACTCCAGTATTCTTGCCTGGAAAATTCCATGGACAGAGGAGCCTGGTGGACTTCAGTCCATGGGGTTGCAAACAGTCAGACACAACTGAGCAACTAACACTTTGTAAAGAGAAATACACAGCAAAACAGTGATAGTAGGGGACTTTTATTAGAATCTCTTCACTTACAATAATGGATAGATTACTAGACGGAAAATCAAGAAGGAAACATTGCCTCAAAGGACTTAACATTGCCTCAGATAGACTTAACTACAGATTAGATAGGGCATTCCATCCAAAAGCAACATAATACATTTTATTCTGATGCACACATGGCCTATTTTCCAGGGTTCATCATATGTTAGATCATAAAACAAGTCTTAATAAATTTAAAAAGATGAAAATCATATCAAGAATCTTTTTCTACCAGAAGAGTATGAAACTAGGAATCATTTACAAGAAGAAAACTGGAAAAATCACAGACATGTGGGAATTAAACAGAATACTATAGAACAACTGGTGAGTCAATGAAGAGATTAAAAAAAAAAGTACTTTGAAACAAAACTATAAATACAACATTCGAATCTTATGGAATGTAGCAAAAGCAGTTTTAAGAGGAAAGTTCATAGTGATAAATGCCTACCTCAAGAAATGAGAAAAATCTCAAACAACCTAACTTTATACCTAAAGCAAGTAGAAAAAGAAGAACAAATGAAGCCCAAAAGTAATAGAAACAAGGAAGTAACATAGAGTGGAAATAAATGAAATACCAGCTAAGAGGACAATAGGAGAGATCAGGGTAAGAGATGGTTCTTTGAAAAGATAAACAAGATGAACATACTTTTAGTTAGACTCACCAAGAAAGAAAAAGAACTCATGGATTCATTTAGAAACGAAAGAGGACATTACAACTGATACCACAAAAATACAAGGGATTGTAAAAAAACTACTGTGTTACTGTGTGCACTTATATGCCAACAAAGTGGAGAAGCTAGAAGAAATGGATATATTTCTAGAAACATATAACTTACCAAGACTGAATCACAAAGAAATAGAAAATCTGAACAGACCAGTTACTAGTAAGGAGATTGTATCAGAAATCAGAAACCTCCCAACAAAAGTCCAGGACCAGACAGTTTTGCTGGTGAATTCTACCAGACATTAAAAGAATTAATACCATTCCTTCTCAAACTCTTCCAAAAATAAAAAAATGATGGAATGCGTCCAAACTCATTTTACAAGGCCAACATTACCCTGACACCAAAATCAGACAAGGATGCTGCAAGAAAAGAAAATTACAGGGCAATATCCCTGATGAGCATAGATGCAGAAACCAACAAAATATTAGCAGACCAGGTTCAACAATACATTAAAGAAATTATACACTGTGATCAAGTGGGATTAATTCCAGGGATGCAAGAATGGTTCATCATCTGCAAATGAATTGGTAAATCACATTAACAAAATGAAGGATAAAAATCATATAATTATCTCAATAGAGGCAGTAAAAGCATTTGACAGATTTCCACTTCCACTTACAATAAAAAACTGGGTATAGATGGTATGTACCTCAACATAATAGAGGTTATATATGGCAAGCCCACAGCTAACATTGTAAGTGGGCATTATGCCAGGTGAAAAAATGAGACAGACAAATACACTATGGTTTCATTTATGTGTGGAATCTAAACTTTAAAAAAAAATCAAAGCTCATAGATAGAACAGATTAGTTGCCAAAAGGTGGGGGTTAGGGGTGGTGAGGCTTGGTGAAATAGGTTAAAGGGAGGCAAAAGTTCCAAACTTGCAGTTATAAACAAACAAGTCATCAAGTGTGTAATGTATAGCATGGTAACTGTTGTAATATTTGAAAGTCATTACGAGAGTGGCTCTTAAAAGTTCTCATCACATAAAAAAATAGTGTGTATATGTAACTGTGCGTGATGAGGAGTGTTATATAGACTTACTCTGGTGGTTATTTCACTTTATATATAAATATTGAACCATTGTATTGTACTCCTGAAACTAGTATACTGTTATATGTCAGTTATACCTCAATAAAAAAATGGGTTTTGAATCTTTTCCTCTTTTCACTTTCTCCTTTCAATTTTGGGAAACAGAAGACATTTGTATTTAAATTCAAAATTAAACTTTTTTTTTTCAGATAACCATGATGATTACAGAGACTGCTCTTATGCCTTTTGCTTGTTTTGAAGATACATTGAGTCGGATGCTGTTTGGCTGGCAGCAGAAGTTTTTACCATGTGAAAAGAAAAGTGAAACAAAATCATCTTTCAATGGTACTGGTTCATCTACCTCAAAACCTGTAGCTAATGCTTCAGAGAAAGTTAAAAAGAAACATAGTAAGAAGACTGAGTAAATTCACTTGATGAGCTTCAGAAAGCAAAAAATTTTCTTATCTACCTGTCAGATTGTGATAAATATTTCTTGTAAATGATGTAAATAAAGATTATATATAAGGATTGGAGGTGACAAAAAGAAAGAACTTCTTTCTGTTTCAGGGAGACTGTCCCTTTCTGGATTGTAATTTTTTGAGTGTTATGAGTATATCATGTGAAATTGTTTTTCTAAGTTATATATAAAAGATTCTATTGTGATTTTTAAAAGTTTTATATGGATAAAAGAAGACTGAATTTTTAAAAAAATGTTAGAAAAAGTAAACCTACTGTCATTGCAAAATAACAAAAATTAAAGTCTTACTGTTTAATCTAGATATTTTCATAAATTTTTATTTGAATCTATTTGTTTTAGTTCAGCAAAATTAAACTTTTATTTTCACATTACCATTATAATTCCTAGATATGAAAAACAGTTCTTGTTTAATTTTGAGTACTTTGGGAAGAGTAAACTTTACCTAAATCACTTTATATTATGAATGAAAATAAATTACTAGCTTATATCTCAGAAATGAACATTGTATTTTTTGCCCACATTAAATGGAAATATCTGAAATTTAATTGTTTTCTACTAGCATTTTTCAGTGAGAATAGAATATTATTAGTCTTAATCTTAAGTGTGTTTCATGCCCTTGTTTGTACTATTTCTTTTTTCTCAAAATCAGGGGCATAATTTTTAATAAGTTACTAAGTCCATGTTTTGCTTTGTAAGTTTTGAGGAGCTTATTTTTTTTTCTCTCTCCTTAAAACACATTTGTTTTAACTGTGGGAGATATTCTTCACAGCATTTTGTATATTCTTAAGGATTATTTAAATTAAAAAAATTTACCTTAATGTTTACTTTCTTATGAGTACTTCTCAGTTTTCTAGTTGAATATCTCTTACTAGTTTTACATATGTTTGTTATGTTTTAATGTACATGTACATATATTACTAATTTTATTTTACATTAAAACTAGTTACCCTTATGTGTAAATACTCAGCTCTAATGAGAATTGTCCTCGGGCATCTGACAGCATCCAGCTAATTAAGAAGAAACAAACTAAAATCTTGTATGGTAGTAGTCTACTTGAGTCAAGAATGATGACGTTACATTTTGTACCTATTGGCAAAAATAATTACAATAATATAATAATAAGTAGAAAAGTTATTAAATAATGTTAAACTTTCTTTATTTTATAGTTTAAAAGTCCAGTTATAATTTTAAAAACTCTCTGACTGACATGAGTTCTGCTAAGACCATGAGCCTGCATAGAGTTAGTATGTATCAGGCATTTTTGGATGACATAGAAATATTCAAATCATACTCAATTTGGAAGTCTTGGTTTTTAAAATTTTAAAAAATATATATATAAACCCCAGCAGGTACTATACTTGCTAAGAAAGTTTGTTTTGAGGGGGAGGACCTTTGATAACTTTGGAATGATAAGAAGTTAATGTTTTAATATTAAGTTAATTTTTTAATATTCTGAAAAGTCATTAAATATTTAAGGGTTCTGTATTACATTTGATACTTTTATAGTTAACTTTTCAGAATTAAAACGTTGCTAATTACTGGCTTAGTTTTGAAGTTTGGGTTTCACTGTAATTGAAATGGCAGGAATCTTATTTTATACTTGTATTAAAGATAAACTTATTGCAATAAATTACTATTTCTATGTTTTTTTCTATTTTTCTTGATATAGGAGTTTATAGCTCTTGTGGCCTTTTGGTTGATTTGATATATATCCAGACATTACTGTCTCCATGAGATATACAAACTTTATTTATCTTTTCCAGTATCCATAACCTTTAATTCAAGGATTTTAAGAGCTCTACTGGAGGACATGGCTTAGGCCTGAAACCTCCCACTGTTCATGCTGCCTGCAGAGACTTGGCTGGATTTGCAAAGCAGATTGTTACATTCCTTACCCAACATGTGGTATGAATGAAGCCTGTGGGCCTGCTTCACACAGACAGATAGGTAGCACTGAGAAAATTAAGGTCTGGTAGGTTTTCTTAAATAAGAGGAGACAAGAAACTGGCAAGAACATGGGCTGGCTTAACTCAGTGATCTCACCCTCTAGTAAAATAAGTCCAAATTAATATCAAACTCTGATTTATCAGATTAGTCACTCTTCCTTGATGAGGGTGTAATGACTGGAGAGGGACTCCACAGATAACGTGGAGTGAATGGATTTCAGGGGAATTCCAGCTTTCCTGTAGGCAGAAAGCAAAATATGGAGAGAAGAGGAGAGACTTTCCCTCTTTGGTGTTTTTTTTTTTTTTTGGTCTATTCTTTTAAGGCGTACATTATTCTGTTAAAATCTACCACAGATCACAAGTTGATCACAAATGAGTGATACATTAGAGGTGGAATAACATGTTCAAGAATATCATCTCCCCCTACTGCTTTCTTATTTACATTTTACTGGTGGTGAGACATAGAATAAGCAAACAGATATGTTCTTGTGGTAATACTAAAGGTTATGAATATATATTAAGCGGGACCCAAGGACAGAAAGTGAGAGAGCTGGGGGTACTTGTTAAGTAGGAGTTAGAAAGGCCTTTCTGTTAAAATTGTATTTTACTGGAGAGGAAGTGGGGGAATAAGTCAGGCAGACATCTGTGTTAAGTGCAAGGTCATTCTTCACTTAGTTGAGTTAGATTATGTATTTTTCCCCAAAATTATTGAATTTATTTTTCTTATTTAGTACAATCACACACTTGTTTTTAACAGACATATTTCTTTGATGGAATTTTTCTTGTTTTTACAGTTCTTTTTTAAGTTAAAATTCACATACAGTGAAAGCACATATTTAAAGAGTTGACAGATGCATACAATTGGTACAGTCTAAACTCCTATCATTACCAATGCCTCAGGAAGTTCATTTCTAGTTAAGCCCCCTCCCCACAACTGAATAGAAATAAAATCATGCAGTATATTCTCTTTGGCATAAGACATCTTTCAAACAGCATAATGTTTTTGAAACTCATTCATCTTGTTGCATTTATCAGTAGTTCATTCCTCTTTAATTATTTATAGCATTGTACTATATGACTGTGTCACAGTTTGTTTATCCTATTGATTCCCATCAAGGCTGTTTCTAGTTTGGGATGTTCTGAATAAGCTACTGTGAACATTTTTTGTACAAATCTTTTGGGGACCATGTGTTTTTATTTTTGTTGAACAAATACCTTGGAGTAGAATTATGTTTTATTAAAAAAAGGCAACTGCTAGACGTCTTTTCCAAAGTAGTTGTACCATTTTATACTTCACAACAACGTATGAGAGTTCCACAGTCTTACACAGGATTAGTGTTGTCAAGCATTTTAATTTTGTTCATTTCTAATGAGTGGTTTATAGGTTTTATGGTTTTAATTTTCATTTCCTTAGTGATTAATGTGATGTAGAACACTTTTGTGTGTGTACTTATTGGCCATTTGTATATCTTGCTCTGTAAAGTGTTTCTTTGGATGTTTTCCCCGTATTTTATTGGATTTATCTTTTTATTATTAAGTTCTTCATGTAGCTTGGATATCCATTCTTTGTTAAGTAGGTGTTTGGTACATATTTTTGTGGGGGCTATGGACTACCTATATAATGATGTCATTTTTATAACAATGTCATTTAATGGGCACACATTTTAAATTTCAAAAAACTAATTTCCCAGAATTCTGTTTTACAGTTGTTATTTTCTATGTCTTAGAAACTTTTGCTTACCTCTAAGTTACAAGTATGGGCTTCCCAGGTGGCACTAGTGGTAAAGATTCTGCCAGCCAATGCAGGAGATGCAAGAAATGCAGGTTCCATCCCTGGGTCGGGAAGATCCCCTGGAGTAGGAAATGGCACCTCACTCCAGTATTCTTGTCTAGAAAATTCCCTGGCAGAGGAGCCTCACGGGCTACAGTCCAAGGGACTTCAAAGAGTTGGATGCAACTGAACACACAAGTCAAATACATTTGCCCATCTGAGAAACCCCAAATAAAGGAGTGCCTCGCTTTTATTCTGAAAAGCACTTAAAAGAGGAACACTTTATGCTATTATATAATGATTCAATTATTTGGGCCTAATTTTTGGTTCTTCTCAAAAATCACTGTACATGCTATATATGCAGTCACTTTTTCTGTAGGAATTTATAATGTGTAAATTCCTATAATGTATTCTTTAAATACATTATAGGAATTCAAGACTTCTTGTGTTGTGCTTAGTTGCTCAGTCATGTCCGACTCTTTGCGACCCCATGGACTGCAGCCTGTCAGGCTCATTTGTCCGTGAGGATTCTCCAGGCAAGAATACTGGAGTGGGTTGCCATGCCTTCCTCTAGGGGATCTTCCCAGCTCAGGGATTGAACCCAGGTCTCCCGCATTGCAGGCAGATTCTTTACCAACTGAGGTACCAGGGAAGCCCAAGATGGAGTGGGTAGCCTATTCCTTCTTTAGGGGATCTTCCCAACCCAGGAATCAAACCAGGTTCTCCTGCATTGCAGGTGTATTCTTTACCAACTGTGCTACCAGGGTATGTCTATTTAGGGAGTTTGTATGTAGGCTTGTCCTTGGTTTATCACAACTTTGGTATTTACAAGGGATGGTGAATAAGAATCTGACAGTAAAAATCCTCTAAACTCAGTCTAGGTATGGGATTAGTTGGGAAGTTAGTGATCCATATTGAAATATACAGTCCAGATACGTCTAGTTTGAAAATCAGTATAGCTTTGTTTACATGGCTGTCTATTAATCCATGACAATACAAAGTTATATGGCACTCTGAATTGAAGTTGAAAACTATCTTTTTTTTTTTTTTACTACATTTAATAAAGAGAATTAAGATTTAATTGGGATAAAAATAAGCAGTTCATATGGTGGGATTGTGGTTTGGTGTGGGGAGAAGAGGGGACTCTCCTGCTGTATTAAGTAACTTAAGATGTATTTTCACCCCTGTAGAATGTATTAGTAAAGAGAATAAAGTTGATAATGAATATTTGTATTTTTAGAAATATTTTGTGTAATTGTATGAAGTTTGATGTAAAAATTCAGTCTATCAGTAAAATAAACTGTAGACTGAAACCTTTCTTGAGGATAATATGAAGTGAAAGGAATAGGCTACAGTGGCTGATAAGCAACACTGTTATATTGACATCTTAATGAGATGTGAAGAGAAGTACATAACATCTTGATTAAATTTGCAGAGGACATTTGGTATTATGAAAACCTGTGTAAGTGACAGGAAAAATTCAAAGGACTAATAATATGCTTGGGAAATGATTCAGCTTAAAAATGTTGAAGTATACAGCTGGGAAGAATTACAGGAGGTCTAAACCTAAGGAAAAATGCATTCATTTTATAAAAATATGAATAACAAAAATTAATGAAACATTAGTTTGTTATAGTCTTCATTTTGAGCAGCTGGTATTTTGGGGGTTATATTACTGAGGAAGAGAACAGTTTATTTTAGAAGACACATGTCTTTGCCATGTCAGCTTACGTTAAAGGACTGTTTAGAAAATAAGGTATATGAAAAAATGTTTAAAACATTATTTCACAGAGAAGCATCTAGTTGATTTATGGATATAACTAGAGTTCTGCAGTTTGGAGTGCAGAATACTGTACCACAGTCATTTCCTATGTATAATATTTAAGTACCACAGGTCAGTAAGATTTGTTCAGAAGTCTCTTCTCTTCAATACACTATTACTGTGTTTTATTTTACTGTTACGATGTTATGGTGATATAATGGTATTGTTATGGAGGAGCTCAGTTGCTCTGTATGGCCTTCTGACTCATGCACTTAGGTAATTCTTTCATTGCTGTTACTGCACTACTATGCCAATTACTGCATTCACCTTATATCTGATCTTTCATGTTATTAGTTGAATACAAGTCCTCAGAAGCTCACATTATACTTCCCTCTGATTGCAGGTAGGTATTATGATAAGTTTTGTGGTAATTAAATTCAGTTGAACACAATATTTTAAAATTTTTCTGTCTCGCTCTAAAGTGGGTTCGTGTTCAAGAGGCTTCAGGTTTGGTCCTGCCTTCTTATCTTGAGCAGTGTTATTAATGTTGTTCTTTATAAAAAAGACTTGAAACCAAACTGTCCAGAATCTCTTAAGTTGCAATCCCTGTCTGAACCAAATCTTTGGGGTTCTAGACATTTAGGTTCATAAATGTTCTAGGTTTTTATACCTGATTCAAGACATGGTTTGCTTTTTTTTTCTTTGATAGTAGCCATCCTGATCAGTGTGAGGTGGTATCTCATTGTAGTTTTGATTTGCATTTCCCAAATGATTAGTGACTTTGAGCATCTTTTCCTGAACTTCTTAGCCATTTGTAAATCTTTGAAGAAATCTTTATCCAAGCCATGAATTTTATCCAAGTTCATGCTTTAATTTGGTCATTTCTTTTTTTTTCCCCCCGTCCCTGAGTTTTAGTTCTGTATATATTGTTTGTATAAATCTTTTGTCAGATATATGACTTACAAATATTTTATCCTATTTTGTGGGTTACCTTTTTACTCTTAATATTCTGGTGCATACATTTAAAAATATTTATGAGGTCCAGTTTGTCTACTTTTTATTTTGTTGCCTTTGCCTTTGGTGTCATATTAAAGAAATCATTGCCAAATCCAGTGTCATGAAGATCTGTCCTATATTTCCTTTTAAGAATTTTATAGTTTTAGGTGTTACATTTAGGCCTTTGATCCACTTTGAGTTAATATTTGCATATAACGTTAGGAGGGTTCAGCTTTTTTCTTTTGCATGTGTTCATTCAGTTTTCCCAGCACCATTTATTAGAAAGGCTGTTCTTTCCCCATTGAACAGTCTCTGCACTCTTGTCAGAAATTTGACCACATATGTGTTTAATTCCTGGCGGCTCGATTCTATCCAGTTGGGTGTATATGCCTGTATGTCTGCTAGTATTAACACTCTTCATTACTGTAGTTTGTAGCAGGTTTTGGGGTCTTCCCAGGCGGCTTAGCTGGTAAAGAATCTGCCTCCAATACAGGAGACCTGGGTTCAGTCCCTGGGTCGGGAAGATCCCCTGGAGAAGGGACTGCAACCCACTTCAGTATTCTTTTCTGGATAATCCCATGGACAGAGGAGTCTGTCAGACTACAGTCCATGGGGTCACAAAAGAGCAGGTTTTGAAATGTGTAAGTATTCCAGCTTTGCTCTGTTTCAAGATTGTTTTGTCTATTTGGGGTTGCTTGAGATTCCATATAAATTTTAGGATGAGTTTTTCTAAAGAAATCGAGATATTGACAGGAATTCTATTGTAGGTCATGGGTATTATTGACAACACTATTAAAACTTCTAATCCATGAACATGAGATGTGTTTCCATTTATTTATGTCTTCAACTTCTTTCAGCAATATTATAGTTTTTATTGTGTAAGTCTCTCACCTTCTTGGTTAAGCTAATTACTAAACATTTTTTTCTTTTTTGATGTTATTGTAAGTGGAATTGTTTTCATGATTTCCTTTTCAGATTGTTCCTTTTTTAATGTATAGAAATGCTATTAATTTTTGTGTTTAATTTTTATCCTGCCTTTTTGATGAATTCATTATTTTTAACTTTTTTGTGATATTTAGAGTTTTCTACATAGAGCACCATCAGCAGATAGAGACAGTTTTATTTCTTCCTTTCCATTTTGAATGCCTTTTATTTCCTTTTCTTTCCTAATTGCTTTGGTTAGGACTTCTAGCACTATATTTGAAAGAAGTGGCAAAAGTGAACAACTTTGTTTTTTTCCTGATCTTTGGTGTAAAATCTTACAGTCTTTCACTATCATGCATGATGTTCTCTATATGTTTTTCCTATATGGCTTTTATTATGTTGAGGTAGTTTCCTCCAATTCCTAGTTTATTAAGTGATAGTTATTCATGATAAAAATCATGAAAATGTGTTGAGTTTTGTCAAATGCTTTTGCTGCATTTGTTGAGGTGATCATGTAGGGGTTTTTTTCCTTCATGGGATTAATGTAGTGTATTACATTGATCAGTTTCCTATGTTCAACCGTCCTTGCATTCCAAGAATAAATCTCACTTGATCATGGTATACGATCATTTTAGTATGCTGTTGATTTTGGCTTGTAAGTGTTTTGTTGATTTTTGCATCAGTGTTCATAAGGGATATTGATTTATGGTTTTGTTTTTTCTTGTAGTGTTGTTGCTTAACATTGGTATCAGGATAATGCTGGCCTCTCATAGAATGAGTTAGGAAGTGTTGCCTCATCTTTAATTTTTTGGAAAAGTGTGAAAAGGATTAGTATTAGTTCTTTTATGTGTTTGGTAGAATTCACCAGTGAAGTCATCAGATCTGGGGCTTTCTTTGTTGGGATTTTTTTTTTTTTTACTACTCTTCATTAGTTATAGGTTTTCTCAGATTTTACATTTCTTTGTGATTTAGTCTTTGCAGGTTTTATGTTTCTAGGAATTTGTTCATCTAAGTTATATAATTTGTTGGTATACAGTTGCTTATGGTACTCTCTTACAGTCCTTTTTAATTCCTTTAGAATTTCCTTATTCCTTTTCATTTCTGATTTTGGTAATTTGAAGCTTCTCTTTTTTTCTCAGTTCATCTAGCTAAAGTTTTTTGGTTTGTTTTCATTGCTTTTTATTATTATTTTTATGTTCTCTGTCTATTGCTGCTACAATCTTTTTTATTTTGTTTCTTCTGCTAGCTTGGGTTTAGTTTGTTCTTTTTATAATTTTTTAGGTTGTAAAGTTAGGTTGTTGATTTGAAATCTTTCTTGTTTTGAATGTAAGCATTTTGGGCTATAAAATTCTCCTTTTGCCTGGCGTTCCCTGTGTTCTGTAAGTTCTGGTATGTTATATTTTAGTTTCATTTGTCTCGAAGTATTTTCTAATTTCTCTTGTACTTAACCTTTGGTCCATTGTTTAAGAACGTGCTATTTAATTTCCACAAATTTGTGGATTTTCCAATTTAAACCTATTACTGATTTTTAAATTTCATGCTGTTTTGATTGGAGAAGATACACTGCATAATATCTATTCAACTCTCTTGTGACTTAAGATATACTCTATCCTGGAAAGTGTCCCATGTGCACTTGAGAAGAATGTATATGCTCTTATTGGGTAGAATATTCTGTATATGTCTGTTAGATCTAGTTGGTTTATTATGCTGTTGAAGTCTTCTATTTTCTTAGCTTCTTTTTGGTTGTTCTGTTAATATTATTCTTAGTATGGGGTATTGAAGTCTTCAACTATTGTTATAGAACTGTCTATTTCTCCCGTCAATTTTGTCAACTTTTTCTTTATGTATTTTGATGGCCTGTTATTAGCTATGTAAGTATAGTGAATACAATAATGATTGTTGTATCTTCATGCTCTATTGGATCTTGCCTTAATGTGTAATTATTAACGCATAATGCCCTTCTTTGTCTCTTAACAACTTTTTTTGATTTAAAGTTATTTTGTCATGCTCTGTTTTGGTTATTATTTGCATTACATGCCTTTTTCCATCCTTTCACTTTCAGTCTTTCCTTCCTTGGGTCTACAGTGAGTCTATTGTAGAGGGCATATGGTTGGATCATTTTTAAAATCCATTCTACCAATCTCTGTCTTTTGAGTGGGCAGTTTAATCTGTTTCTACTTTATTGTTAAACAATGCTAACCATCATCTGAATCTTTTGGAAAATTAATCTTTTTGCAATAGTAACGTCATAGATCACTGATCACAGGTTACCATAACAAATGAAAATGAAAAAGTTTGAAATTTTGTGAGAATTACTGAAATGTGACATAGAGACACAAAATATGAGCAGATGCTCTTGGAAAAATACACTGACAGACTTGTACTATGCAGAGTTACCAACAAACTTCAATTAAAAAAAAATAGTGCAATATGTGTAAAGTGCAATAAAATGAGATATGCCTGCAATTAGTGATGTAGAGGGACTTTCTCTTGTCACTTTGTTTGTTTCATCCATGCCACATAACTGTATTCATCATTTCCTGCATTACTGTCTTCCTTTGCATTTAGTTGATTTTTTTTGTAGTGAAATGTTTTAAGTTCCTTTCCCATTTCCTTTTGTATATATTCTACAGCTATTTTCTTTTTGGATGCCATGAAAATTCCATTTAACATCCTGAAGGTATAACGTTCTTATTTGAGTTTATACCATCTAAACTTCAATAACATAAAAACTCTGCTCTTTTAATAGCTCTGTTTCCACTCCTTTTGATTGTTGATGTCATAAAATTACATCTTTATACATTATGTGCCCCCAAATATAAACTAATAATTAATATAAATGCATCAGCTTTTAAGTAGAAAACCAAATGTGGAGTTACAAATGATAGTTACAATATTACTTTTGAACTAATAATTGTTTTTAAAAGATATATCACTCTCTTACATTGTGGAAAACAAAATGTGGACTTGTCCACCATTATTACAATAATATCAGCTTTTATCATTATACATCTATTTACCTTTATTAGTTCTATATTTCTTTATATCACCTCAAGTTACTATCGAGTATCCTTTCATTTCACACAGCAGCTCACTTGAGTATTTCTTTTAGGGAGGATTTAGTGGTAACAAACTGAATTTTTGTTTATTTAAGAATGTCTTAATTTCTCCCTCACTTTTAAAGGATATTTATGCTGGATGTAAAATTTTTGGTCATCAAGTTTTTTTCTTTTAACATTTAGAATATGTTGGTTTTCTTCTGGCCTCCAACATTTCTAATTAGAAATCTGCTGACAGTATTATTGAGTATCCCTTATATGTGATGAATCCCTTCTCTCTCCGTGCTTTCAAGGTTGTCTTTTGAAAGTTTGATTATAATGTGTCTTGGTTTGAGGTTCTTTGAGTTGATCTTACTTGGAGATCATTGAGCTTCTTGAATGTTTATGTCTTTCATCAAATTTGGGAAGTTTTCAACCATTTTTTCTTCAAATGCTGTCTCTTATTTCTTGTTCTCTTTTCCATTTGAGACTTCTACAATGTGGATAATGTTCTGCTAGACGGTAGTCAAGAAGGCTCTGTTCACTTTGCAGTCTTTTTTCTTTCTGTTCTTCTAATAATTTTCATTGTCCTATCTTCAATTTTGCTGATAATTTCTGCTGCCTGTCCAAATTTGTCTTTGCCTCTCTCAAGTAAATTTTAAATTTCAATTATTGTACTTGTCTGCTGCAGAATTTCTTTTTGTTTTTTAGCTTTTCCATCTATAGATATTTCCTTTTTTTTTTTTTTTTAACACATTGCTGTCTTGGCTTCTCCACATCTTCTCTTAGTTCTTTGAGCATTACTTTAAGACTTTTTTAAAGTCTTTATCTCGTAAATCTGCCACCAGGTCTGTTTCAGTGAGAGTTTCTGATTATTTTTTTATTTTGAATAAGCCACACTTTTCTGTTTCTTTTGTGAATTTTGTTGACAGCTGGACATTTAGATCTAATAATGTTGTAAATGCAAATCAGGTTCTCCCCTTTTCCTAGGGTTTGGTGGTTTATAAGAAATTGTTTTTGTTTATTATTTTGTTTTGTCTTGTGTTTGTTGCAGATTATTTTTGTGTTAGGAATTAGCCCAAGGTATAAACATAAGGTGTTCTCATGTCTGTTTTCAGCCTGTGCCTTTTATGGGGCATGCACAGTCACTTTCTTATTTATTCCATAGATGCAATTGTTTTTAAATGTCCAACCCTTAATGTCTGGATCTTAAAAGGGCAAAGAGAGAAAAATGAAGAGAGGAAAAAGAGCACTGGCCCTTTATATCCCTTACAAGTTATTTAATTTGGGGAGGGGAGGGGTGGTGAAACAAAAATGGCTGCCTACTTTGCACCTTTGTGATCAAAAACCTCAATCAGCAAGCAAAGCATAGATCCCTGATATTTGGAAGGCAGTCTTTTTTGCCAGCCCTGGCTCCTGCAAGTTGTGTGCAGATTATTCCTGGAACACATGTGTGGATGCCTGGCAAGAGGGCTAGGGTGGGGAAATGATTAGCTACTATTATGCTAAAAGTGGAAATTGACCAACATTAAAAAGAAGCAAACTATGAATTATTGAAGTCCCAGAAGAAGAGAGGTAGAAGAAGAAAGAGAGTTTATTTATAGAAATAACGGCGGAGAATGTCCCGAATCTGGGGAACAATTTGGATATTAAAATTCATTAAGCTTGTAGGTCACCAAACAGTCCCAACTTAAAGTGATATTCTCCAAGGCACATTATAAGAAAGCTGTCAAAAATTAAAGACA